CCCCCCCCACGCGCTGCGCGGGCGTTGTACCGGTCTGTCATGGTGAAGCGGGAGCTGTGCCAGAAGGCGAAGCTCTCGATTTACCGGTCGGTCTACGTTCCTACGAGCTTTGGACAGTCACCAAAATAACGAGATCATGGATACAAGCGGCCGAAATGGGTTTCCTCCGTAGGGTGTCTGGGCTCTCCCTTAGAGACAGGGTGAGAAGCTCGGTCATCCGGGAGGGACTCAGAGCAGAGCCGCTGCTCCTCCACGTCGAGAGGAGCCAGTTGAGGTGGCTCGGGCATCTGGTTAGGATGCCTCCTGGATGTCTCCCTGGTGAGGTGTTCCGGCACATCCCACTGGGAGGAGGCCAGAGGAAGACCCAGGACACACTGGAGGGACCATGTTTCTCAGCTGGCCTGGGAACGCCTTGGGATTCCCCYGGACRAGCTGGCCCAAGTRGCTGGGGAGAGGGAAGTGTGGGTCTCTCTGCTTAGGCTGCTACCCCGGTGACCCAATCCCGGATAAGCGGCAGAAAATGGAGGGACTGACGGATGGACGGAAAATTATATTACTGCAAATTGTACTAAACTCGTATCTAAAACCAGCATTGATTTTAAAAAATTGCATTTCGACAGCTGACTTGAATATCAACATAATAAAAAATTTAATGTTGCTAGTACTCAATGTTTGTCATCTTCTGGCATACAAGGTTTATTTCTATCTGTAAAATGGACAAAAACAGTCATTTTTGTGTGCTTCACCCCCACCTTTGTGGCACCCTGGAACTTTGTGTTTGGTCGATTGTTTCATTGTAAAAATGCTTCTTGGCAATATATCTTATACTGTTGGAAAGCCAGTTAATTTCCCATTTTAAATGGTGCCACATTTGTAAGAAACATGCATTTGTGGGATGAGCAGTAGAGCTGAGTATGTGGGTTGTGCACGTGAAAAATTTGTTAAATCTTCTCAACTTATTTAGCTGACAGGTGCTGCTAATCAGGTGCCTGGTATAAGATGTATTGCCAATAAGCATCATTTCAACAAAGAAATAATCTACCAAACACAAACTTATGTACATTTAGTGCTAAGTTTGTACTAATCATGTTAAATCAGATCAAACGTATACAGTTTCCAATTCTGCCACAAATAGACAACAAACTCTATACAGCTCCCTACCAATGGACTCTGTTCAAATCTACCTCCATCCGTCAAAATGAATCAATTGCCTTGTGATTAACACACACAAACACTGAAAAATATAAAGTGATGGCTTAAAGAAGTTGCAGGAAAAGCTGCCCAGTGAAAAATGGTTGCACGACGCACTCTGTAATTAAGCCAGTCTGTACTTGATGGAAGTAGATCACAGTGGCGGGCCACAGCTTCACAGCCAGTTTGTTTTTATGACATAATTACAGTCCAAATCAAATGAGAAGATTTTTATATTGCACCATGACGAGCATGCGTCCAAAGTCAGATATGACACTGACCTCCCTCAGGCAGAGTATTCATGAGGAAAAATTGTGTGTGGAGGCCATGGGGCGGAGTGCAGATCAGGCGTCAGAAAGCCTAGCGCAGAGAAGCTCCCCTCACTGTGAGAGAAATCTACCTGTGTCTGCACCCACCTGGGAGGTCTGAAATTAATGGAGTCAGATACAAAAGATCAGAGGGGAGGGGGGGGGATTTGGAAGCCAGAGATCGACTTATGAGGGGAAAAAATTTAACTAAATGGAAATTAGAAAAACAAGTGAGGTAACAACAGTTGGAGCAAGTGATGAAGAGAGTGGAGGGGAATAAAGGAGAAAAAGAGCAGACTCAGAAATGCAGGCAGTGAGGGCGTGGCTGAAGATAAATAAAAGTTTTACTCRAGTGTCGCTCTGTAATGAGGCGACGGACAGTGAGGAGGGCTTTGTGCAGTCACGGCCAACTCGTGTTTTTACCAAAACAACAGGATTCTTTTCATACCTGCTTATGAAGCAAAAAGGTGAAAAAGTAAAAGCTGTAATGTCTGTTATTAGCTTACAGTTAAGAACTCGTCCAAATATAAGAGAGGCCTGTACAGCAACCAAACGTTTCTGTTTTGAGATGGGAGCTGTTTTGATGCTTGATGACATGGCTATGCTGTAAAATGACCAAAACCTCCCAGAGAGTGGCTTTAGTGTTTTTCTCCTCCTGGAAAGAAAAAAAAATCTGCATTTCCTGAGCTTTAGTGRCATGCACAACACAACCGCAAATGTCTTGTTCCGCCTGGTCCGATTCTCCCAGAAGAAAGAATATTCCCAGGCTACAGCTGCTGACTGACCACGCTCCACCACACTGCTTTCTGTCTCCTGACCACCGTTCAAAACTTCTTTCTCTTCATTCGTCCGCCATTTCCCCTTTTTCCCAGCCGCTTTCCAGCCCGGTCCCCCCACCAAGTTCCTAAGCACAGCCAGCTGGGCCAGATTTACTCTGGTGGCTACGTCGCCCAGTCGGCTCTTTGGGCGGGCAGCATCATTTGACTGGATACTGGTCAGGGCCCGTAGATTAGTAACTGGATATCCACAGAGAGGCCATGTGGCCTGAGCCCTGTGATCCAGTGGAAAGCAGGGTCTCTGCGGTGACTCTGYGGTTCTGTGTGGCCCAGAATGTGAACCACAATCCTTGCTGACACCCTCATCTTTGAGGACGTGGTTTTACTCCAGATCGTGATTTCCCATCTCCTGCTCTGTGACTTTCTAACTGTGACTGTAGGTCTGAACTCGGAGCGTTCTGGTGAAGAGGACACAGCACCTCCTCTGCTGTGCCTCTCTGGACCAGTTTTTTCTCACATGGAGCAGGACACGCTGAGGGGAGGCCTCCTTCTAAACAAACTTAAAAGTTCTCTTTTTAGTSTCATTTGTCATTGAAGCTGCAAAACATGGGCTTGTGATGGAGGGGTGGCCAGAGTTTTGAGCACAATTAAATTGYCCCTGATTATACGGAAAGCTATTTAAAGRAAAACAGTTCATTATGAACACAAACAGAGGGAAGAAACAAATTACATTTMCTCACTTTACTGTAATTAACTTGTACACTGCAAAAACTGTTCATCTTACCAAGTTTTAAAATCTTAAATCCAGCCAAAAAGTCTTTTTCATCTTGTTTTGAGACTGATTTACTAAACAAGAACTGATTGTGTAAGAATAATAATCTTGTTTTCAGAATATGTAAGATTGTCTTGTTAGTCAGAAATTTTGACACAAATTAAGTCAAAAATTTCTGCCAATAGAGTAAGATATTTTTACTTGGTAAGATTCTTGAAATACTTGATTTGACTTTTTTTTCTTATTTCAAGAATCTTACCAAGTAAATTTTTCTTACTCTATGGCAGAAATTTTTGACTTAATTTGAGTCAAATTTTCAGACTAACAAGACAAATAATCTTACACATTCTGAAAACAAGATTATTATTCTTACACAATCAGTTCTTGTTTAGTAAATCAGTCTCAAAATGAGATCAAAAAGACTTTTTGGCTGGATATAAGATTTTAAAAGTTGGTTAGGTGGACAGTTTTTGCAGTGTTCTTTAGGTTGCCTTTGTGCATTTTCTTAGGTATTGCTTTAATTGTTGTACTTCAATGAAGTTTCATTCTGTGGCTATCAGTGTTTTACCCCATTAGACWGCACTTAGCTCTCCTCCAGTTTGCAGAGATAG